ACTCTGAGAAATCCTCTAGACTCTGAAGCTTTTTAATCAGGTGTTGAATGAAGAGATTTCTAGGTATGCCAGTATGTCATTTTTTACACATGGGCAAGGAGACAAGTACAACTTGTCTCAGTAAAGTGAAAGTAAATCTTGGGGGAAGGGACAGCAGATGGCATAATGGGTACGTTGCTGGACTTCCACGTCGTCAACTGTGGTTCGAGTTCTGGACGGACCTGGTGGCTTAAAATTCATGTTGGACACATGTGCGTATGTGCCTGCCCAAAATCCTGAGAGGAGAATGGAGGAGAGGGGATTATACTGTGGTCCATCCCCCCTCGGGGGTGATTCCTCACTTTCTCTCTGATGAGCACATGTACCCTATTGTAAAAATCTCTCAGAAAGAAAAGAAGGAAGGAAGCAGAGAGGGAAGAAAGGAAGGAAGGAAGGAAGCAAGCAAGCAAGCAAGCAGAGAGGGAAGGAAGGAAGGAAGGAAGGAAGGAAGGAAGGAAGGAAGGAAGGAGAAAGGAAGAATAGAAGGGTAAGAAAGGGAAGAAAGAAAGAAAATATTGGTATATTATGAATGAGATTGGGGCCAGCAGGTAACATGGTGGTTAAGGCAGTGGACTCCCACATGGCTGACTGCAGTTTGAGTCTCAGACCTGGCAGCTTGCTTTCTCACTTTCCTTTCCTTTCTCTGTCTCCGGTCAAATTAAATAATAATTATTATTCTTTAAAAAGAAAAAGGAATGAGATCAAAACTTTTCAGAGGTCTTCCTCTGTATATATGTGTGTTTGTTTGGATATAAGGATGGTGAGAAGAGGAAAAAGAAAAAAGATTGAGGCAATTAAGAATCCGATAAAATTATTGGAAAACAGTAGTGGCTTGAAGAAGGAAGTATATCTTGTAAAATGACATAGTGCATTTTTCTGCCCATATCAGAACAGAACCAGGTGCATTACAAAACTTGAATAATAGGATTCCTTAATTTCCATTAGAGATCATTCCACTAGATGACAGAATTAGGACAACTGTTGGCAAGTCTTTGAACCAGCTCTGGGTCTTTAACTCAGGGTCTGAGTGGTTTTCGAAACTGTGTCTGTGATAATCCCCTGAGGAATTTGTTTGAAAAATTATTGCATGACTACCCCTCCCTCAAACTGGTTCAGTAGAACTAGGATAGGGATTAAATTCTAAATTTTTAAGTAAGCCTTTTGGAAAAATGCCAGTGGAAGCCAAACATGCTTCTTAGAACTGCCAACATGCCTTCTTCTAGCTACACAAGACATCCTATAACCGTTCCCTTGATTTATCATTTCAGAGCCTTTAAGAATAAAGTATTTTCTATCTCAAGCAAATTAGAGACTCAAAGGTTAAGTAACAAGGAGATCAGAAAGACGTTATCCAGGGCCAAATACAAAATCAAGGATTAGAGGTCCGAATGATGTTATCAACCCCAAGGTTCCATACAAAAAGTTTAAAAAGCCAGGACCAAGGCCCTGGTCCTAGGATCAGACCTAGTAAGAGCACAAGCAGATAGGGGTGTTCTTCCCGAAGATATTTCCTGAGGGACCAGTAATAGAGGCCAAGGCATTTTGTCCTCCACATCTAACCAATAACTCCCTGGAATCTGAACACAAAGCAAAATCTACATAGGACTAACAAAGGCATCAGAAATATTTGGCAGGTAAATAAGCATCCTCAATTCGTGCCCAAAGCAGACATCACTAATCAGTCACAGAACACCTACCCTGAACCAAGGTGTGGTTTTTGAATACTTGACAGTTTTAAGGCAACCACTATCAATCAGAACAGGAAGGAAGCTGAAACCCATATGCCATTTCTGATACTTACGGATCCAGCATAGGACTTTTCATGCCTCTTCCCATCCAGCTGCTTGCTGTCATTGTGAGAAAACCAATTTTATAATGGTCTTTCAGCAGTTGAATAACAACTACAAACATTTACTACCCCTCAGTACTTTGTTAAGGACTGTGATGTGAAGGTA